GACGGTGGAGGACGCCGAGGCGCTGCCGGCGTCAGCGAGCGAGCGGGAGCCGCAGGGGCTGGAACCCGACGATGAGGACGAACTGCGGCCGCGCGGCAGGTGAGGGGCCGTCGACCCCGCGGAGGCGACTTGTTTACGCGCGCGAGCCGCGGAGGGTCGGGGAGAGGAAACCCGGGCGGGCGTCCCCCCTCGGCTGCGGCCTCGCCGGCGGAGGACAGCGGGTGTCCTGGGGGCGAGCGCGGGGCCGCGACGCTTCCGGCCAGCAATGGGCCTGGGCTCGGCTCCCGGGCGCCTGGTCCTTACTCGCGGGCGAGAGCAGCATCCTCGCAGGTGTCGGGGGATGCTCGAAGAATGGACCTCAGGGGTTGGGAGGAAACGTCACTTGCCCTCTTTTCGGGCTTTATTCATCCTCCAAGGAGCCTTCCCCCTCGTGTTTTCCTTACGTGAATCACCCTATGTCTGTGCTGGTGCAACAGCTGTTTTGAGAAAGGCCTTTCGAAAGAGATGTCTAGGTTTCAAACACAACTCTGTAGTGACCCGCGGACGAGGGTTGAGATCAGTTGATCTCACTGATCTCAGAGGGTTGAGACTACTGAGACTTGCGGAACATCTTCATCAGAATCACCTGAGGATGCTGGTTAAATGTACAGTTTTCTAGACCCCACCCCAGTTTTACTGAATCAGACTTTCTCTGAGTAAGAACCTGGAGTCTGCACGTTTAACAAGCACCCCGGACAGTTCTTGAGCACGCTAAAGTTTAAGAGCTATGGTTAGGTTCTTGCATATGGGCAGATTCTTGAATAAAGGGTTTACTCTATAAATGTTTGATATAGAGTCATCTTGGTTGAGTTTCTTAGCCTTGCTAAAATGTCACTTCAAGGTACAGTGTTTAAAGCACTTTTCAAAGTCTAGACACAATGGAAAGTATATTAATGGTACAGTATTTTCAGACAGCCAGTCTTAGCACACCCGGCAAGAAAGTGATGTCTCATTTAACAAATGGAATGACAAAAAGGAGAATTAGGTAAATTAAACCAAGGAGGGCTAGAATCTGGATTTAAAAGTATTTTAAGCTTATACTATAGTAATTACTAGATCATAACAAGTAAGAGTTAATTTTCAATTAAATATTAGAATCTTGATCTATATACCTGGGTAAGTACTAAAAATAGGATAAGTACTAAAGTTCTGTAGTCACCGTTTGAGTATTTATATGTAAAAAACAGTTTTTTTTTAAGTAACAGATATTTAACAAAATTTTCTTAGGTTTGCTAAAACATCAATTCTCCTGGAAGAGTGTTTTTGTTTATCTTAAAGAAACTTCTTAAGCTTCCGGTCAAAGTAAATTACATGAAGTAGAGTAAGATGTGTTGTTTTTCTTAGAAATCAAATCCACTTCAGCAGGTACTTACCTGCTCTGACAAAGGCCCACAGTGCCCTGGGGTTACAGAAGTCAGGTAGATAGTCCCTTCCCTCCAGGAGAAGTGTGCAGTCTAGCAGTGAGGATGAAATGAGGAGACCTATAATGCCATTACAGAGCAGAAGAAGTGCAAATTAAGTGTCATGGGTGTCCTAAGGTTTTTGTGGTGTTCTCTGGGTGGAGTATGGGAGTGAGGTAGGTGTGAAAAGGCTGTAGCAGAATGAATTACTTCCTGAAAAGTGGGTAGAATTGTGATGGACAGACACTGATCTTGAGGCTATAGCAAGAGGCACAGAGGCTGGAAATGTTTAGAGAACACTTTGTGTACGTGTGTGTGTGTGTGTGTGTGTGTGACCTGTGTGTTTGTGAGAAATACAGACATGCACACTTGTATGCTAGGTAGGAAGGAGTAGAAGATGAGGCTAGAAAAATAGGTTGGGGACATACTGTGTGTGTGTGTCTGTGGGTGGGTGGGTGTGTGGCCTTACACTAGTAACATCATCATCACCTTTAGAAATCCAGAATCAGGTACTATCCCAGACCCACTGAATGAGTAGCTACATTTTGACAAGATCACCGTGTGATTCACATGCACATTACATTTTGAGAAATGTGTTGAATATCTTGAATGCTAGGCCTGATCAAAATTATGCATAAGGGATATTTCTCTAGCAACAATGTACACTGAAAACTTGAGGTAAGGATAACAAAAGGAGAGTGTTATAGCAGTTCAGGTGAGAGGTTTAGTGCTATGTGGTATAGAACAGAGGGGAAGGATTTGAAACAAAATTTTAGTTTCTGGCAAATTAAATGATTCCTCCTCCCTTGGTACCCCCATCCAAAGACTGAGACTGAGAAGAGGATAGCACACATAAGAAAATAGAGAGGTTTAGGGGAGAAGGAAAGAAAAGGGGTTGGTGTTAGACCTGGTGATTTGGAGGTGCAGGCAGGATGTCCAGAGGGAGACATTTGGTAAGCAGCTGCAGAGAGTTCAGGGTAAATAGTTGAATTTGTAAGAGAGAGGAGTCTCATCAGGAAATTCCTAATAGTATTTTAGGGAGGAAGGTGAGCCAGCAAAGGGGTCAGAAATACAGCTGGCTGGATTGGAGGTATAGGACGAAGACAAGGAAGAGTGAAAAGTTTGGTGATGAGCACACTTGAAAATTTAAGGAAAGCAGCAGAGACAGTACTCAGATTACAAGAAATGAAGGATTCATCCTCTTCTGCACCATTCCCTTTCCTCACTGATGGGAGGCAATTTTTAGGACAAGGTATCTTTGATCTTACATATCTATAGACTGAGAGGAAGGAGCCTATATAGACAGGTTGAAAATGCACGAATAGACAGGAAGTGAAGGTAGTTGGAGAGGATCTACTTGGCAAGCAGGAGGATCACTTCTTAGAGGAATTTTGCCTGGAAAAGTGAGTGATCTCTGGCAAACAATTGGCTAGGAAGAGATAGGACCTAGTTTAGGGGTCTGCCTGATAGTATGTACTTGCGATAGCATGGCACGTTTGAGAAACTTTGGGTAAGTAAGTTGATAGTTAAGAGTAGATAAATATGGGGCCGGCCCCGTGGCTCACTCGGGAGAGTGCGGCGCTAGTAGCACCAAGGCCGCAGGTTCGGATCCTATATAGGGATGGCTGGTGTGCTCACTGGCTGAGCATGGTGCTGACCACACTGTTCGGAGGGTTGCGATCCCCTTACCGGTCAAAATAAATAAATAAAAATTTTTTAAAAAGAGTAGATAAATATGCAAAGTTTATAAACAAACAAAAAACAGTGAAAAATCAGAGAATATCAGTTCCATAATAATAACCGATATCCTGTTTGTTTCAAGAAGGAGGATTAGGGGAACAGGTTTGAATTAACCAAGCGTTTATTACAAACAGCTGTGAACTATGGTATTTGCAAAACTTAAACAGAAGGAGGTGGAGAATTAAGATTTTCATTTTTGCTATTGTCTTTTGACACTCAAACAATATGACACTCATAGGTTCATTTTTTTTGTTTTTTTGTCTTGGAATTTTCAGTTTACTCTGCATATCAAGCATGTGAATGAGTGAATAACTATTTTTTTTCTTTAAAAAGTATCTAAACTAATCTTGTTTTTCTGGTAGCAGTCTTGTCGGTGTTTCTTCTGTTAAGCATTACATTTAGTTGAAATTTAAATAGGATGGTCACTGCAGAAAGTTGGGAAGAAAGTCTCAATCTCAAGTCACTGTTAGGTTTTATAGGCGTTGTTATAATAATGAGTTGCCTGTTTTCTGACTGGTGCAGTAGCAAATTGCAAAGTGTTACTTGGGGTTCTTGCCATGGGTTGGGTATCTTCATATTTAGGATGTTTTGACAACCACAGAAATCATAAAAAACATCTATCACACTAATTTGCAAAGCATATGTTCCTTTTTCTTCTGCCTCTAATTCCTCTCTAACAAAAGTATTACTAAATTTGACATTAGTTTCTGGTGTTTCTTCAGTTTGTTCATCTGTAAACTACTTTTTCTGGATTAAATGAGATAATGAAAATACTTTGCAAGGGTAAAATGATTTAATTCCTCTTTATTTCTCTTTCCTGTCCTTTCAGAAACTGATCTGATGTGAAACAAAGGTGCAGAAATGTGGTCTTCCTTAGGTTTCCAGATTCATAACCATGTTTTTTTTTTTTTTTTTTTTTTTTTTTTTGTGGCCCGGTAAGGGGATCGCACCCC